TTTTTGGTTGCAGCCGTCATTGTTGTTTGGCGGGTCCGGGCTGGGGATTCGAACCCACCACCTTAGGTGTACGTGGCTGGCGCCTTAGCCCGTTGAGCCACAGGCGCCGAGCCAATTTTCATTTTCATTTAATGATTTCAACAAATATAAAAAGAAATTCACACTAGCTTTGAAAACAATACAAGTTTAAAATTTTCTTTAAAAAATTTTTTTTTAATTTTTTATTTAGAATAAAAAATGACAGAGTCTCAAGCTGTTGCCTTGGGTAGAGTGCTGTGGCTTTACCGATTACAGCAATCTCCAACTCTTAGGCTTAAGCACTTGTCTTGTCTCAGCCTCTCAAGTAGCTGGTATTGCAGGCACCTGCCACAACTCCCGGCTATTTTTTGGTTGTAGTTGTCGTCGTTGTTTGGCAGGCTGGGGCTGGATTCCAACCTGCTAGATTTGAACCCCCCAGCTCTGGTGTATGTGGCTGGTGCCTTAGCTGCTTGAGCTATAGGTGCCAGGCCAAAAAACATATGTATTTTTTTGAGACAGAGTCTCACTATGTCACCTTCAGTAGAGTGCTGTGGCATCACAGCTCACATCAACCTCAAACTCCTGGGTTCAAGGAAATCTCTTGCCTCAGCCTCTTGAGTAGCTGGGACTAGAGGTGCCCACCACAACATCCAACTATTTTTAGAGATGGGGTCTTGTTTTGGCTCAGGCTAGTCTAGAACCTGTGAGCTTAGGCAGTCCACCTGCCTTGGCTTCCCAGAGTGCCAGGATTACAGGCATGAGTCGCGGTGCCCTGCATAATTTTCTTAATTTTTTGTAGTTTTTTTTCAAAATAGAGAATCTCACTTTCTCACCTTCGGTAGAGTGCTGTGGCATTCACATTTCACAACAACCATACACTCTTGGACTCAAGAGATCCACTTGCCTAAGCCTCCCAAGTAGCTGGGACTACACGTACCTGCTGCAATGCATGACTTAATTTTTTTTATTTTTCTGGGCTTGGCGAGAGTGGACAAGCTGCCCCATAAGCCCACCTCAAGGCCACGAGAGGCCCTGGCTGTGGCAGAGTCAACCTTGGGTGTGCTGTGTTTTCTAGGGCACATGGTCTATCTGAAATACAGCCCAGCCAGAGAGCTGACCAATGCTTAGGCTTCCCCGGCGGCCTTGTTGGCAAGGAAAGGTCTGTCAGAGCTGTATCAGCCTGACCTAGAGCAGCTAGATCTCTGTTCACTTTGTTCTCCTTGCTTTTTTTCAGAGAGTCCATTTTATGTCCTGATTGAGACCTCAGGCTCTGATGCAGGTCACGATGCTGACAAGCTGGGTGGCTTCCTGGAGCACTTGCTGGGCTCGGGCCTGGTAACCGATGGGACTTTGGCAACTGACCAGAAAAAAATCAAGGTGCACTTTGCTCCTGCGGCCCTCCTTCTACTGAGCCTTACCAGGGTATCTGTGGTGTGAGCTATCCAGCATAGGCACTGTGGGTTTTGGGTCAAAAGTGTGATCAGGTTTCATGGCTTTGATGGGATGTAATGTCTTTGGAATGGAAGGTATATTCCTACTGTCTGGATCATTTTCTTCATCATTTTACAGGTACGCCCTGCCTTCCCCATCACATCTCTCCTTCCTTCCCACCGATCTCCTTAGCTGCAGAGTGAATCAACTGGCCCCTTGCTAGCTCCCTGGTGCCTGTGGTTTAGTGGCCAGTCAGCAGCAGCTGCACGAGTAGTATACAGTGTAGCACAGGTGGGCAGAGCTGCAGGGCTATAGAGCCCCAGCCTATTGAGGTGAGCAGAGTTTTCTGGAGGAAATGGCTTTGAACGTGTGACTAGAAATGATTTGTTCTGTTGGAGGCCAGAACGGGGGTGGGGGATAAGGCCTGGGCAGTGGAAGCTGTTGGCCCCATTTTCTTACTGTGGTCCCTTCAAATGCAGAATGGAGAGCAGACAAGGGCTGAGTGCAGGGCTCTGGTAGGAGGTTGGGGCAGGATCTTTATTTTGAGATGTATCTGGATTTGGCCAGTTGTGATCTATGAGCAGGGACTGTGAAGGCCTTAGTCTCAGGTTTGCTGACTTCAATGGTCAGCTTCATTGATTTACTTCATTGTTAAAGCTTTTCCCCTTATAATTAGCTCTTGATTTTTATGCATTATGTGTAAGTTGTTACAGCAGTTGCCTGTACTGAGTGTTTGCTTTCAGAGTGCACTGTTCATAGTGTGGCTCCATGCCTGATGGCTGTGTGGTCATCTCTGTCTCCTGATCAGCTATTCTTAGATGTCATGGTCACTCTGGATGTGGCTCTTCACCTTGCCCTGAGTCACCTCTGAAATCACCTGTTGTGATTTCATTGCTGGGGATAAAGGTGTCTTCTTCCCAGGGTGGTGTTGCTGGCTCAGGAGTTGTACTCAAATGAATGGTGGCTTGTCAGTTGCTGGCACAGCCAGGGCTTCCCAACAACCTTCTCTGCCCACCTGAGAGGCGTGATTGATCGAGTTTCCTTTTCATGTCTTCCACATCTCCCTGATTGTTTTCTAATTCTGCTGTATCTATCAGCTCACTGATTTTCATGTCACAAACAGTCCCCAGACCCCACTGGCCACAGGAATATGGGCCCAAGTCTCTCTGGTTATGTGCTGTGCTGCAGCTTGCCTATGTGTCTTCCTGCTTGGGGGCCCAGGTGGACCCAGTGGATGGAAGAATGGGAAGGCTTTAGGGAGCGTCGCTGGCTCCTCCTAGGCCTATGCTCGGAGCTGGCTATTCAGCTCGCCTCCTTAGCCCACTTGCCTTGGGAGTACGGGCAACCCTCCTTCTGCAGTTGCTGGATCACTGGGAGGACAGAGTAATGTGACTGTCCCACACGCCCCCAGCTACCCCTGCATGTCAGTGCCCCATGCCCCTCTGTACCCCATCCAGCCTGGACTTGTGTGCCCCACAGCCAGGCCTGTGATGCCAGGGAAGGCCAGGTGTGCGTCAGTTCTGGGGCCCTGTCTCCTGCTCCTGCTTGCTGAGTCTCACCTCCAAGAGTATCCTGAGAACAATCAGGTCTTGAGCATTTGCCAACACCTGTATTCTGTGCTCAAGCTTGACTGCTTGTTCTGTTCCTTTGCATAGAAGACCACCCTCTCCTGAGTGTGCAGCTCAGGGAGTCTGGTGGGGGCCCAGGCTGCTGCTTTGCAGGCTTGGCTTTGCTGTCTTCTCATGTTGACCATGACTCTGGGGAGCCCTGTGCCATTCTGCTTTCTAGTTCTTTGTAGGTTTTTTCCTTTGGGAGCCTTTGGTTTTCTGATGTATCTAGAAGACTGCCTTGTACCTGTCCAGCCTATGTAGCGTAAGTGGTGTGTTCCTGGGGTACTCCTAAAGCCCCGCCCAGGCCTGGCTCTGCCCTCTTCGAACCCTTGTAGTGGCACCTGGTGGCTTATGCCGGATGCCAAAGGCTTCTTTGAGCTATGACCCTGGCAGGTATGTTGGTCTGGCCTGTCCTCCCCACTCCTCTGTTGGGCACCTTCTCTGCTGTGCCTGTTGGGTGACAGCAGTGACTAGGATGAGGAAACTTTGCCCCATAGGCTCATGAAATGAAGCAAAAGTGCAAAACTTAGCAGCTCTTCTGAAGTCCAAGTGCTGCGGGAGAAGCAGAACTAGGCAGAGTGGTGGGTAGTGCTGGGGGGGAAGGGATACTGGGAAGCTGTCCATCTCCAGCATTCGAGCAAGGGCAGGTGCCAAGGCCCTGAGGGGACGACCTGCTGAGTTCTCAAATACTCCAGGGATGTAGGTGTGGAGCAGAGTGAGCAGGGGTGGGCAGGCAAGTGGGAGAGCCCCTCTGTGGCCAAGCTGGGGCTTTAGGGTCTGGTGCTAGGCTGAGAGGTGCTCCTGGGCAGTGGGTGTCCTCTGGGCAGTGGGTGTCCTCCAGGCGGTGAGGCAGCAAGTGTGGGTGGTGGTGTTTGAGTGCCAGTAATGTGGGTAGGGATAGGCGCTGCTGCTCACTGGGCTATAGAGTGACCCAAGGTATCTCCTCAGGCAAACTAGTCTAAAAATTATTGACAGAATTGGGAAATTTGGTCACTGGCTGGACACTCAGCAGTGGCAAGCAGTGAGTGTAGCATTGTCATTATCTTTTACAAATTTCATGGTGAAACGTTTCCTGAATTGCTGGCTCCTCTGCGGTGCAGGTGTCGGGTCAAGGTCTGGGTGGGACTGTGTGGAGGAGGGTGATCCAGGTGCCTAGACGTGACAGTTCTGTCCTCCTCCCTGTGGGTCCCAGATTTGTTGTCATGTGAAAAGTCAAAGCAAATAAAAGCCAAGTAAACCACAGATGGATTTATCTTGACAAGCTGCTCCCCCAGGCCCCTGTCTACCTGCTCTGCCCTGTCCTGCTGCAGCCATTGGCACTGTCCCCTCACTGTCCTTCCTTGGGAGTTCCTCCAGGATCCTGGGACCCTCACACCACCCCCTCTGCCTGCCTCGATCTTCCCACACCTCTGTTGCTCTGCCCCTTGGCTGTGACATCATCTGAAGCTGCTCTGGGTCTGGTTCTGGGAAGGCCATGTCCCTCTGGAGGTGTCCCTGCATCCTCAATGCTGCTATGGGGCAAGCCCCCAACCACACAGTGCAGTGTGCCCTGTTCTGGATGGAAGCCCCACAGCTCCATGAGGACATAGAACTTGTCCCAAACCTATAGCACCTTTATCATCCCCATAGCAGCCCTCTGTCTCCCTCCTCTTGTCCACCCCAGATGCTGTGGGCCCTGCGGGAGAGGATCACGGAGGCACTGAGCTTGGACGGCTGCGTGTACAAGTATGATCTCTCCCTCCCTGTGGAGCGGCTCTACGACCTCGTGACGACCCTGCGTGCCCACCTTGGCCCATGTGCCAAGCACGTGGTGGGTTATGGCCACCTGGGTAAGTAGCGCCTTGGTGCCAGGAGTTAGCACACTCTGGGAGGCCAAGGTGGATTGCTTGAACTCAGTGCTCTCTGTAGTGAAGAATGTCACACGAGGCTCCCGCACACACTTGCAGTACCACAGGTTTAGCAGAAAAGTGAGATAAACTTAAAATTGAGAAAGACCTAATAATTTTCATGATTCTTTTTGGATATTTTGGAAATGACTGTCATAGTGCAATTTTAATGGCGGAGCACATGGCTCAGATTGCCAGAACATGTGGAGATCTTCAGAGCACTAACCCAGGTGTCTGGAACATAAGAACACAGAAGATCCTCTTCTCTCTCCATTACAGAACTTGGATGGAGTACTACATTAGCAGGCCTCGGATCCTGGGGTTTGGAAGAGGATTTGATGAGTCTATTTAAATTTTATTTGAGGCAGCCAAAATAATTTTTCATATCAGCAGATGTCTTTGACTATAATTGATCAGGTGCTGGTTTAGCAATTCCTGTAACTTTTTTTTTTTTTTGAGACAGAGTCTTACTTTGTTGCCCTTGGTAAAGTGCCATGGCATTATAGCTCACAGAAACTTCAAACTCTTGGGTTTAAACCATTCTCTTGCCTCAGCCTCCCAAGTAACTGGGACTACAGGCACCCGCCACAACACCCACCTATTTTTTGGTTGTAATTGTTATTCTTATTTGGCAGGCCCAGGCTGGATTCAAACCTACCAGCTGTGGTGTATCTGGCTGGCACCCTAGCTGCTGAGCGACAGGCACAGAGCCTCTGTAATTTTTTAATACTTAATATAATTCATTATCCTCCCTGGCAACATGAGAGACAATTTGTAAATTAGAAAGGTCAGATTTTAATTTTTTTCTATCTAGTGAGGTTTTTTTTTTTTTTTTTTTTTTGAGTTAGGGTTTCACTCTGTTGCCCAGCCTAGAGTGCAGTGGTGTGATTATAGCTCATTGTAACCTCAAATTCCTGGGCTCAAGTAATCCTCTTGCCTCAGCCTCCCTGGTAGCTTGGACTAGAGGCTACCATGCCCAGCTTATTTTTTGTAGACACAAGATCTTATTATGTTGCCCAGGCTGGTCTGAAACTCCTGGTCTGAAGGGATCAAAGTGCTGGCTGGGATCACAGGAGTAAGCCACTGTGCCTGGCTATGTGTTTTAAAATTTTCTGTTTTTTGATTCTAGATACATTTCTCCTTTTATGAGAAAAGAGAATGTGGGTTTTATATAATTATAAAAAATATTTCCTGGGTTGAGAAAAAAAGAGGAAAAAAATTCCCTGTCAAATGGATGAGAGCTGATGGGACAAAGAGGAAGATTTAAGTCTCCTGTAATTGAAAAGCTATGGGCTAGAATTTATGTGCCAATATGGGAGTGCTGGTGACACCCACCGTTTGAGTTGTTTGTTTACTTTAAGGAACGGAACCTTGTGGTGAGGTGTAACTTGTTACAGATGACAAAGCTCCACTGTCAATAAGAGCTATGCAGTCTCCATCCAAAGTGATTTTTATTTCTTT